TGTCAGGACGTGAGGTAGGGGGAAAGCAGAGTGCAAGGGTAGGGCAGGCGAGAGGTATATGATGGGCTTCGCAGAACTCTAAACACCCACCGCTGGAATAGCACATGAGGTTCATTGGTGTTTGGGTTGCACAAGATTTTGAGTCAAGGAGCAGTTATTGCCTATGGTAAGTGACCATCCCTACAGACCGGACAGGACCGGTTCGGGTGTGGACTGTGGAAGCACCGCATCCAGTTTTCGCAGTCACAGTTGCTGCATCGAATGGCACGGTGCAGACAAATGTCACAGGCAACGTGGCTCCTACATGCTAGGAACACGGAGGCACGTCGACCACAATTATAGAGGCACTGCTGTTCTAGCCCGTCTACAAATTGGACATGACATGTCAGGGTGCCGTACATGAGTACAGTGCTGACTGTCGTCGTAGGTATGAAAGCAGAAACTCGCATGGACTATTCCTTCATAATCCTCATGGCACAAAGCATGTGAGCCAGACACGCGGTTAATGGAAGGCCCAAAATTCGGGGTTTTTCGCCGCATCACTACAAGCAATGTCGTGGAAAATTTTGTGAACAAACTATGCAGGCTCATAATACAAACATCAAAAAACAAAACAGGCAAAAAAAAACTAAAAAAAAAACTCAAAAGGACTATAAAACCCTATTCGGAGTAGCTTTCAAAGTTCGCCAATTTTTTTCCTGAATTCGGTGTTTTTGCCAACGTCTTCGTTACTCATCCAAATACGCTGAAACTGAATACAAATATACCCTAAAGCACATACATATCAGACAAAAAAATAAAACAAGAAAAAAGCAAAAATTCAGGGAAATATGACAGTTTCGGTGAAAAATTCGCCGAAAATAGCACCACCCATTAACCACGAGTGGGTCATCACATAGCGGCATAGAGCATGTTTCCTGGGTTTCATCAGTATTTATTCCTTCTGTATGGGCAGACGACGACAGGGAGGGTCGGTSCAAAGCAAGGGCGTTCAGCTGCTGCAAGATTTGGTCCACAACAGCTCGCCTTGATGGTGATAAGCGATCAGTACCCCGCTCTGAAGCTGGTTCATATAAAGGCCCATTTTCCTCCTCGGGCTGCTGTGTGTGTCGCACGTCTGGCAAGGAAGAGGAAGAACCCTCTGCGGTTGCCGTAGGTGTATGACCAACACCGCATGTGGGACATGCTAGGAGAGGATGTGGTGGGTGATGGCACCGGGGATAGTCCATGCAGTAAAGACACATACTTTCTATGACTGCTTCCTGGAAGCACTGACGACACATGGCATGTTGCTGACATGTCATCAGTATGGAAGAATGACGTGCACAGTTATTTAAGCATGGCGGATCAAGGCCACAACGGCATGCTGGGCAAGTAATCAGGGGGTGGGGGGGATGAGCACAAGACAAGGGATCACAATTTTCGTGGGAGAGGCTAGCAGCGACCATCCCTTCATAMTGTTCGGAGCAGAGGCTATGCCGTGTACACGCCAACCGAACTGTACCTGTGCCACTGCACAATGGGAGGGCACAGCCACTATCCTCTGGAGAGGTCCGTTCATTATTTGTGGTAGGACCAGCCAGATTGCTCTGCAGGGGGTGTAGTGCTTGCGAGTGGTGATCGACATACTGTTCCTGATGGACGAGCCAGACTGCGTGATCCTCCTCCATTTGGTGATAGAAAGAATTTACATTTCCTGTTGTGTGCACCCTGCCACCGTTGTCCCATAGGGTCCATGAGTTATCCGCAAAGGTAAAAGCACTAAAATGACCTGGACGATATAAGATATATGCCCGAATATTTGGATACATGC